ACTTCGAAATATTTCTTTCGAAGTCGAAAGGCAGGGGGTCCATCGTGCGTGTCCAAGTAGAAGCAGGCACGACAATGCCTCGGCTTTCCACGGACGTGAACTTTCGACAATGCTGCTGGAACGAAGAAGCATGGAAGGAGAACGAGCAGAAGATTCGCCCTTTGTCGGCTTTTAAAAGTAAGAGCAACGTGTTTCTGAACAGAAAAGAGAGACAGAGAAAGAGAGAGAGAGAGAGAGAGAGAGAGGACCACCAACATACACATACACACACAAATAATACATATATGCACATACATAAAGACGTGATTTAACAAATGTTGAGTCGAAACACATGTTGGACTTTTCAAAAACCCATAGACACGTGACTTCATTATTTTCTTCTAATGTTTGCTATTAAAAAATGTTTCCGAATTCTCAAAAAAAAAGAAAAAAACAAAAATTGGAAAGAAAAAAGAAACGAGAAAATAAGTAAAGAAAGAACGGAGAAAAAAAATCTCATATTTCTTTGAGTGGGTAAATATATATATATAAAAGAATTTTAAAAATAATTTCTGCAATCTTTATAAAAGTTCCATCGTATTTTTTTGTATTTTTCTCTTTTTATTATGAAATACTTTTACCAATGATTTCCGCGGGTTCCTTCTCGATCCTTTGATCGCTCGCGGAACGACACGCGAGCTCGTTAACGTCCCAATTTCGCGGCTAATGCTCACATTCTCCGAACGATCTTCTTGTCTTCCCTTATGCCCACCGAGGATAAGTTTTTCATTCTGTTCTCTTGATTCTTCATCATTCTTATTTTTATTAGAGAACCATTGTGACTCTAATATCTGTCAGTCGAGTACAAAAAAAAAGGGAAAGAAAAAAAAGGAAGAAAAGAACAAGGGAAGATTTTTATTTCGAGATAATAAAATTAGAATGATTTTTGTATACGCTTTGATGACGTTTTATTTATTTATTTATTTTTTTTCCCTTTTTTTTTCTTTTGTTCGATTCTTTCGTTTTTTTTTTCTTTTTTGTTTTTTTTTTAGGTAATGAATACTTGTCTCTTAATTAGCATAATAACTCTTTAACTCGTATTGTAGTAAATACGACGTAGGATCTTTTCATCTGCTTTTCTTTTTCTCTTTCTATCTTTCTCTCTCTCTCTCTCTCTCTCTCTCTCCCTCTCTCTCTCTTTTTATACCGTCGTCGTTGGTTCTTCTTTCGACCCTCGACTCGAAAGATTCAAGGTAGTTTCCTAACTGCTAAGGGCTAGGGGAGGTGTCGAATAAATTGAGGTCGCGTGGGGCGGACGTCTGCCGGGAATGGTGGACCACACTGGCGCGATTTCTTTCTACCCTCGAGGCTCCTGGATAGGCTTTGAGATACTCTTGGTCTCTCCTCGTAGAAAAAGGACAGATAGAAAGAGAGACAGCTAGAAAGAAAGCGGGAGAGAGAGAGAGAGAGAGAGAGAGAGAAAAGGGAGAAGAACTGGAAGAGTTGTGTGCGGTATTCTTTGAAGTCGTGTGCCATTCCACGTCGAAATTTTCCAGAGTCGGCCTTTCCTTTTTGAAAGATGAAGGAAGGAGAAACTCTGTGTAAGAAAAAGAAAGAATAAAATGGGAGTAAACCGGAATCAGCCTTGTTCCGGTCTCGACGCGTGTTTTACAGAATGTACAGTAGAGAACAGGTCGACAGAGATTTTTCATGGTCTATCTTTCTGAAGGGACTTTTCTAAATATATAGGTATACATACTTATATACGATATATATATATATATACATAGGTAGGTAGGTATATATTCCTGGTTAGTATCCGAAGATATTTCGACTAACTTTCGTAGAAGTCTAAGATAATTTAGTCTACCCTAAAGCAGAATATTTTGGACGGTATTGTTCGGAAGTATCTGTCGACAAAGAAAAAAAAAAAAAAAAAGAAAAAGAAAAGAAAATAAAAAGAGAAAGAAAAAAAATAATATTTATGGAAGAAAAGTATTACTAAAAAAAAAAAAAAATTTTTAAAGGAACATGTTACGTTAATTGAAATAATAAAATAAAATGATAACGATAATATAGATAAAGGTAATGATAAAATAAAAATGTATTACGTGAAATACTTGTTAATTTAACAAATAATCGATATAATTAGATCAAAATTCTCATTTACTTTATAATAAACGTTCTTTTTATCGTATATGTAGGTACGTATACCATCTATATATAGTATGTGCACTTGTTCGATAATATCCATGATTGGCGATCATTCGCGAAGAAGCTCGACTCTGAAAGGTAAGAAAAAAAAAAAAATTGACTACTTGCGTGTGGTCTCCTCTAACGATCGACTAAAATATGTTATTAGGGAGAGAGAAAGAGAGAGATCGGTTCGGCCGATGCACACCGGTCAGATTAAACGAGAACCCCTGGCCACGCGTATTTGCATTTGACGCATAATTGCTCGCACGCGATTTACTTCATCTTCTCTCTCTCTCTCTCTCTCTCTCTCTCTCTCTTTCCTTCTTCTTCCAACAGATTTTCTCTTTATTAAGGTGCTCCAGGACGATGAATTTATTTAGCCATTACTTTAACGGTGTCAGCTGGGCGAAAACGCATCCATAAAGGGACGAATCCTTTCGTTTAATTATCTCTCGTATCTCATTGATTATCGTCGTAATATGTCTATATGTACATTTATATATTACGAAATATAAAACATTTGAATTGCTACGATGATTTACTTATTTTTCATCGTACAATTTTATCGTACTTTCATCGAACGAAATGTCAAACAGAAATCATGTAGAATCGATTTATTCATTATTTTTCTTTTTCTCTTTTCTTTTCTTTTTTTTTTCATAATTTTATTATTCAAACATCGTTCAATTTTTGCATGCAAATGTAAGTGAATATATATATATATATATATATATATATATATATGTGTGTGTATATATATATATTTATATGTATATATTCGATTATATCAATATTCATATGCATGATCCAGACAGTAAACTAGAAATTATGAAAGATTAATATTATGTTCGTGGATTAAATATTAAATAAATGGATCTATATATTTTTTTTTTTGATCATTTTTCGTTTTTATATCTTTTTGTAATGATTTTATCGTATACCAGTTAAATATAAAACCACAGGATACAAGATCCCAATCGTGAAATCGTTTATTTTCTTTCCCTTCGATACACCTGCCGTCTTCCCACGTGAGTTCATGTGCAATCGTATTTATGCTTCCCTTTTGCATCTCCTCCTTCGTCACCTTGCCAACACAGGAAGAGGGAAAGGATGACGATAGAATTCTTTTACGGGGGGCTTGAAAGAACTAAAGGGAATGATAGAAAAAGATAGGAAGATATCCTACATGAAAAGAAAATACAGACCTGCTTTCGGGATCGAAAATCGTATGGGACAAGTTCGAGACGAGTATATATATATATATATATATATATATATAAGCATTGAGTGTCAATCAGAACAACTGATTTCTAAAGGGATTCTCCTTCTTTTTCCCTTTGAACGAATACCGAATGCATTATCGTTTCTTCGAGAGTTGTTCTCGATTAACCCTCTTTCCTATTGGAACTCTCCCTTTAAATTATAAAACCAATTTCCGTTGTTGAAGTTTATCGAGGTCGACGAAGGTCGGATATATATATATATATATACATATACATATACACACATATGTATTGGTATATATATATATGAACTGTGATGTGTAGGGATTCAATTCGATTCGAACGGATGTCGCGTCCTGGTTTTGCTCTCTGTCGTGAAATAACCTGCTCTTCGAAAGAGCTTCAGGTGCAAATAAAGGATATCCTCTTACGAGAAGAGGTAAAGGACTTTCAGCACAGGAAATTCTTAAATTTAATTGGGAAGTCATTTTTCTTGTAACACCGTAGGCGTCGCCTTATCTTTGTCGAAAATTAAAACTTTCGAGAATCCAAATGATTTTGTTCTTTTCGCATTAACGTGTATAAGAGAAAAAGAGAGAAAGAGAGAAAGAGAGGGAGAGAGAAAGAGAAGGAGAGAAAGACTGTCATTAATAGTTTATATATTGATTTTCTTTCTTTCTTCTTCTTTATATATATATATATATATATATATATATATATATATATATATATATATATATATATATATATATATCGGTATCTCGTGGCTTTCACGTTGATCTTCACCAATTAGCGATTGATTGCCTTTTTCATATTTTATCTTGGTAAGATTTCACGAAACGTGCCAGCTCGAACGGGAAATGACGTTACATTGGAATCTTGCGGGATTTCTTTCAAGTCAAAAGCAACCAGAGAAACGAAGTACACGCTCAATTTGCTTCGTCCAATTACAGAATTCCGTTCGAACTCGGCGGTATATCGCACGTTCGTGCGTTCCATGAATAAATTAGAAAATAAGAAGTTGTATCTACTGTACATTATAAACGTGTATATGTGTTGCTACCCTTGACCAATATATGTTCGAATGTTACATCGAAGATATGTTCGTTTAAATAAATTATTACGAATTAATTCTTATAGAATAACATATGCAAAATTGCATATCGAACATTTTATATACATTAATGAATATTTAATGGTCAAAATTTCTCCAGATTCGTAGTTTCGTAGCTTAAAAAGAAAAAAAGAAAGAAAGAAAAAAGAACGGAAAGAATTAATCTTATAAAAAAAAAAAAAAAAAAAAAGAAAAAAAGGAAAAACAGAAAAAGAAAAGTCTCGAGAAAAGAGCAATGTAACTTTAAAATTATCTAAGAAATATTTGCCAATTTATATCCACCTTACACGTATCGTATCGTATTTTATTTCTATTTCTCAAATATGTACTTTAATGTAAACATTTGGAAGGTAAATGTACGACCTACGTACGATACGTATAAGTATACAGTCTGTGTCGTTTGTAGGACGTTCGATAGTAGTAAACATTCCTTTGTACTTATAGAGTGTGAATAAGTCGAGGTATTACGAGTTTTAGTTTACTTTGAACACTCGTCCCGTTTACACGTATATACGTACGTATTTAATTTTTACTCTCTTAAATTTTTCAAACTATAATATTTTCTATATAAGAAAAATAATCGTTGTAATTATTTAAATATGTTACATTATCGTATATGATGGGAGGATAAAAATTATTTTTCGATCGTTGCAATGTCGTTTCTTGAAAATGAAATTTCTTGTTCGTAAGATATAAGCTAAACTGATAAATAACAATTGAAAAGAATTGTAGCCGTTGGTGGTCTTCAGAGTGATCGGTTCTCAACACTCGTATCGATTCGTTCGGCGAAGAAACCGAGAGAAAAGCGAGACGCGCTCGCGCCAGTTCGTTCGAGCGTGGCAAAGAAACGTGTCGATGGTAGGTGCGGAATGCGACGAGCGAGCGGTAAGTTTCTTCCGTGACAGCGTTAATTAACCGTGACGCCAGCGTTAAGAACTACGTAGGTATCGAAAAGTTCACGAACGTGCAACTTTCTCGTTCACCAAGATTCTATATATTTATTTACTACCAACCACACAATTTTTAATCTTTTTTGTTTTTCTTTTCTTTTTTTTTTTCTCCCCCTTTCCTTTTCAATAGAAATTTTCACTCTCGATTCATTGGAATGCTCGTATCTATTTATACGATTAATTCTAATAACATTTCAAATGTATATTATCGAAGAATGTCAATTTAATGATTTAGCGACATCGAAAAGGAAAAAGATAAAATTTATAATATTTATTTTCTTTTGTTGGATAGACTTTAATGTCATTATCTATTTATCAATACGATGTATCTACTATGATTTAAATGTATTAGAAAATGATGACGATTATGATAATTCAGACGTAACGATATCAAAATTAATTCGATTATTAGCCGAAATTCCTTATTATCCTGAATAATTTTTACGAATTATAAATATCTATCTAATCAAAGAGAAAAAAATCGATAATATTTTATCGATCACAGAAAAGTATCAGATACCACCATGAGATTGTCGGAGGGTCGATCTCTAAGAAGATACATCCTTCGTCAGGAGTCTTTCACGATCGTGATCGATGTAGCGAGCTCGTACTTGCGAATCTTGGAAGCTGAATCGATCGATCGATCGATCGATCGATCGATTCATGAGCATGGAAGAGAGTCAGTTATCCAGTGATCGAGACGCGTTCCTGTACGATCTGCGTGAGTTTACGAGTCGTTTCTTGCGCCCTCGGGCTTTAAAAGCGAGGCCATTCGAACAAGAGAGCAAAAGGGAGAGAGAGAGAGAGAGAGAGAGAGAGAGAAAGAAAGAAAGAAAGAGAAATCAAAGGCTACCCTTCGAATGCACTGCTCTCTTTGTGTCTTCTACGGCGACGCATCGACGCGCACTTGGAATGTCGCTTTATCGTAGCGAGAAAAAGATTTTTATTTCTGCTATACTACTCTTTTATATCTACAGGGTGAGTCATATTGTCATTTATTATAGATTGATAAATAATGAAAGTGAAGGGAATCATTTGTGTCAACATTAAAAGTTAACTGATTTCCTTCGAACTACTTTCTTCATTTTTCTTTTCTCTTTTTCTTTTTTTTTTCTTTTTTCCTTTTTCTTTTTTTTTTTTTTTTTTAAAGCGATCTAAGAGATAAGTACTTAAATCAAGAACTTTTTCTTTCTTTTCTTTCTCGTTCTCCTTTTTTCGTTTTATTATCTTCATCAGTTACTCAAACATGAATTGTAGCTAAGTATTCGACTCACATTATATATATATATATTTATATATATATATATATATATATGTATATATATATATATATATATATATATATATATATAATGCGAGAATTTACTTCAAGTGATATTTCATCTCTTAATGGATCTTTATCCGTATAATAACTGCGACACAATTACTAGAATATATTTGGCTTTCTTATCATTGAACATGATTTATTAGAATAAAATTTGATCGTGATATTGTATTCTTAAGAAAGAAAATTTCGAATGAGTTGTTCTCGAAAGATGATTTCGAGGAACTTAATACAGCGTGCAATGTTGGCTATTAAACGAACGGAATACTCATAAATATAAATCATATGGAATTGTCTTGTTGCTCTGTGTTCGAAGCAGTCACGACCCTGGGAAACAGCTGTCCATTTGTAAGAAGAAGAAGAAGAAGAAGAAGAAGAGGATGAAGAAGAAGAAGAAGACGAACGTTGGGAGGACGAGGGAAAGAGAGGAGTGAAGACGAAAGGAGAACTCACGACGCCGCCAAATTTGGTCTCGCGAATGTTGGCGGAATTACAGATCGTCGCCTCCTTCTTGTGTCCTTTCTCTCGACTCTCCTCGTCCCTTTATGCCAGCCCTTCCTTTCTCTCTCTCTCTCTCTCTCTCTCTCTCTCTCTCTCCCTCTCTCTTTCTGCAACTCTACAACTCTCGAACTTCTTCAAGTTCGAACCTTTTGTACGTGGAACCACGATAACTTTCTTGCTATAAAATTCTTTTAAAAAGGATCGATTCGTCGATCTCGATCATCGATTTCGAGCAAATTTAATTCTATATCTTTTGAAAACTCATCGATTTTAGAATATTTAGGGGGGGAAAAAAAAGGTATTAATATAAAAAAATTCGTACGAGTTTTCTGATCTTTACTTTTTCTTTCTTTTCTCTTTTTTTCTTTTTTTTTCTTCAGATTCACACGAGATATTGTAAATTTGAAATTACGCAGTTTCAAAGAAAATGATTTTATTCCGAGCAAAGAACTTTCGATCGTGGCTGTACGTAGAATAGCTTATCGGTAGAGTCCCCGATCGAAGGTAGGTATCGTTTAATAGAGAGAGCCTTTGATTAAATTGTTGGCCGATTAAGAGACAAGAATCGCATTCGCGATAAGTCGAGAAAGATAAATCGATCGTTCGTCGGAGGTTATTCAAGCCACTCGTCGAATTATAATCGAAGTCTCGCTGCAAATTGACTCTTTCGAAGCTTCAATTAATCTTCTCTCTTTCTCTTTCTCTTTCGTGATTCGAAGAAAAAGAAAAAAATAAATAAAGGAAAAGAAAGGAAGAAGAGAAAAAAAAGAAAGAAAAAAAGAAACGAAGAAATGTAATGGTGGTGCGAAATTTCATAGGGTAAAATAAATCTCATAGGGTGAATTCATAAATATTCACATGTGCTTCGTCAAATCGAATTATCACGAGTTATTATAAACAAAACAAAAAAATTTTGCAACTTATTCTATTTCTTATACATTTATTTATTTATTTATTTATTTATTTATTTATTACGATAAATTCACATAATTACGAAGAAACGTTTTATAATTCCTCTTTGTACGATCAAAATTACTCATCATACCATCGCCATCACGTTTGCCATAGACTGTTTAATCAATGAATTCGACACGGTGGGCCTATTAATGAGCATACGGACGAAATCTTCCGCAAAGGTAATCGCGTTTTAATTAATTTTTTATCGGCCGATAACAGGATCTTACTGCGTCGTTGTGAAAAAAAAATTTTAAAAAGAGATCGCTACGTTTTTATTTGCACACTTACACGTTCCACTTCTTTTCCGTTATTAACCCGTTCGTGTTAATAATGAAGACGAAATTGATTTTTCATTCGTATTAATTCTTTCGAAAGGTGAAATATTCGATAGATCGATACTCTTACAAAAGTTTTTCTATCATGTGTAATATCAAAAAAGATGATAATATTTCAAGGTGGACGTCCTTGACAAATTTTTTTTTTTTATTTTATTTATTTCATGGATGATCTTTCGAAAAGTCAAATACATCGTGAATTCTCAAATAGGAAAGAGAAAAAGATAAAGAAATTTTTTCGTCGAAGTTCGAAGTATTTTAGAGGCAATCATCATCTACGCTACCGGTATACAACGTCTTCGATCGAATGCAACCACAAAAATGTCCCGTGGAATTTCTAAAGCAATTTTTCGGTGGCTCGTTCCATTCCGTCGTAATCACCGGTTTCGTGCTACGATCAGTTTTTCAATACGATGAATAGAAAGAGAGAGATATAGTCAATCTAGGACGATTTAAATTTTTTTCAACAGAGATTTCTTAATTTTTTTTTTTTCTATCTTTTCTTTTTTTTCTTTTTATTCCCTATTTTCGTCTAGTTCACAAAGAATTTCTTTCGTAGTTTTCGAGGATGATTATAGACTCGAACTGATTGGAGTTTCGTCACGAAGTGCATCTCAAATTTTTATCTCTCTCTCTCTCTCTCTCTTTCTTTTTTTCCAAACTAGTCTTCGTAAGTATCGTAGAGTTCTTGTAGAGGAGAAAAAAAAGAAAGAAAGAAAGAAAGAAAAAAAGGAAAAAGAAAAATTAAGAAAAAAATAACGAAAACTCGATATCTCGTTTTCATTGCGCGGTCTATTTAAAATAAACCATCAAGATAGTTCAGAAACAGGAAACGTGCCAATTAAGAGGGCCAAAAAGTCACCTCTGACATTTCGAAAAAAGATTTTAGATTCGTGCCTTTGGAATTATACCCTTTCTAAGTCCTTTTCTCTTTCTCTCTCTCTCTCTCCCTCTCTCTCTCTCTCTCTCTTTTTTCTTATTTTCTTTTTTTTCTTTTCCATAGCTACCGCTGCCGAAACGTACAATTCGAATCCTTGGTCACCGTTCGTAATTAGTACACGCCTACTTTCCTGAACGTGTTTGTTACACTATACGAACTCGTATATGTAAATCTGTGAGGAATTGGTGTGTTCGTGTCCACATGCAGGGGTGCGTAATAACTTATTTCGAGACTCGTTATTAAAGAACGACGACTGCGGTGGCCTCATGGGAATGCTTGAGTGCTTCATCAACATTATTACGTCGTCGTTTGTTAAATTTATTCGATGTTCCTTTTCAATGTATATTATTATTATTATTATTATTATCATCATCATCATTATTTTTAATTAAATAAATAAAGTATCAGACATTATCATAACTATATTATAAAAGTATTGATATCGAATGAAATTAAGAAAGAATATTTGTTTGTCTACGATCTCGGTACAAAGGGAATTTAAAGGAATATGTAGAAAAAGGAATAAAAAAGGAATAACGAGAAACAAGAACAAAGGGGAAGAAAGAAATTTTAATGAAAAGAAAAAAAAAGGAAAGAAAAAAAAATGAAATAAATGGAAAGAATAGCGGAGGGGATGGGGAAAGGTAAAGAAGTTGGGCGTCGCGACGCATTGGAACGCGTGGGCGCACGCGACCGCCTCGTTGATTCGTACGAGAGACGCGTTCAACCCGACCGATATAGCGACCGGTATGCCAGAGGAAAGCGGACGAGTGGCTTATAAGCACGCGTGTGCGGTTAGACGTCGTCCGGGCGAGGACGAGACTGCCATGAGGAAGAATCGAAAAGAAAGAAAGAGATAGATAAAGACGCGGGAAGATAGAAAGACAAAGACAAAGACAGAGACAGAGACAAATAAAGAGAAATAGATAGAGACAGAGAGAGAGAGAGAGAGAGAGAGAGAGAGAGAGAGAGAAAGAAAGAGAAAGAGAGAGAGACATACAGACAGACAGACGGACAGATGAAATAAAGAGAGAGAGAGAAAGAAAAGAGATGACTCTTGAGTAAAGGATGTGTGCGTGAGTATAAGAGAGAAAGAGAGAGAAAGAGAGAGAGAGAGAGAGAAGTGGTTTTAGTCCCACGCGACGGCTCGTGGCTCCTCGTGGCGGACGCGCGTCTCCCTCTCTTTCCTCTTTCTGTTCCCTCACGAGGCGCGCGCGCGAGACTCGCGTGAGGAGTGGGAGAGACGAGGAGGGAAGGAGATAGAGCCGCTTTAAGGTCAGCCACGAATGCCAGAGGCTTCGTATACCACTCGCGATATCGCGAGCATATACTACTACTACTACTATTACTATTACTATTACTACTATTACTATTACTACTATTACTATTACTACTACACCATTATATTATTACTAATCACTATTACTATACTCCATCGAATATTGCTGTTACAACTGACATCAGTAAGCACCAGAAACTATCACTAAGCTAACTTTGCAACCTCGGCGTATGCCTTTCAATGGAACGCCAAGTTGTTTGCCAATTAAGGACGAATTAATTCCACCGTAGCCGTTGTTTTCCGTTTGGAGAATCCTCCGTAATCATTCTCCACGTCTCTTACCTTCTCTCTTTTCACGATTTATTTACACATTCGAAATATTTATAAATGTCTTTTTGTATCTCCAGTTTACCTCTACGTCGTACTTGTTAGAGACCCTTTTGTAAGAATACTGATATGTTGTTCGATTAAGCTTTCAACGATCTCATCGATCGCTTTGGTAAATTGTTGTTTCGAATTAATTCGTATATATCAAAGAAAAAAAAAAAAAAAAAAAAAAAAAGAAGAAGAAAGGAAACAAAAAGAGAGAGAAAGAGAGAGAGAGAGAGAGAAAAACAAACTGAACGAACACAAAAAAGAAAAAGGACGATATATCAAGAAATATTATTTTTTATTCTCGATTTTCTCTGAGAAAACATGACGTACGTCTCGACAAATATTTTCATCGCGGATGCATCATCGACAAGGTCGATTCGTGTGAAAATATCAGCAAGGAATGGAGCCAATCATCCGCGAATAACATCCTCTTTCTCTCTCTTTCCCTCTCTCTCTCTCTCTCTCTCACTCTCTCTCTCTCTCTCTCTCTCATTCTCTCTCTCTCTCGCTCTCTTTCTTCGTGCATTCTCGCACGACCACTTCGCGGACTGGCCCGGGCACAATGGCTAAACTAATATTGAAATATTGCCCGGCGATTGGGTACCGCATGCGTTTTTCAACGTCAGACTGTAGAGGCGCGCCCGCTAACAAATGCGCCTGACTTATGGCCCGGTATCCATTGAATGCCGATTGTTAATACGAAATCATTTATTTACACGAGCCGTAGCCCATCCAGAACCGATCCGCGAGATCGTTACGTATTCTTGGCCGATCGTGACGTTGTGTGCGTGTCGCACACCCAACTTTCCTCTCCTTCTCTTTCTTACGGCTTTAATCTCTTCATCTATTCGTCTCACTCTCTTTCTCTCACTGCTTCGTATACTCTCTCTCTCTCTCTCTCTCTCTCTCTATCTCTATCTCTTTCTCACTTGTTCGATATCTAAACGAGTCGAGCATTCGAAGGTGGAAGATTGGATCGCGACTTCGAGCTCGATGAGTTTATTCCTTTTGAGAGCCGTAATTTGACCGGGAAAATAAATCAAAAAGAAAGAGGCGAGAAAAGGAACTCGAACACCATCTACATGGTGTCCTCGAAGTAACGATCTATTTAATAATGTCGTATATTAATTTCGATACAGGAGAGAATTAACATTGAAATTTTTATTAAACGTTAAATTAAGCTTTAATCGTAATATATCAAATTGATTTTATCAATGTTACGATATAATTTGTTTTTGATTTATTGAATTAATGTTGAAATGATTAGAAGACATTTGAAGATTTCATTGTTATTCTTTTTTATATGGACACCTTGTATTTATGTAACGAACGCATTCGTATAACGCAAACCTTTTCTCATGATTTATTCGACGACACTTTTTTAAAGTCCAAGCGCGACATTACACGCAATTAAAGGGATAAATGTTTCCCGACGAATTGGATGTGTAACGAAAAGTGATAAATGCGAGATGTTATAAGTTCTTAATAAGTTTGTAGGGATATCTGTGGGGGTATATATATTATAACTTACTATCCGTGTAATTGACTCGTAACATCATTCTATTTTAATATTCGACATACCCTTTGCAATTTATCCAACATACGAAACGTGTACGAATGATTCATTAGGAAAGTTATTTTATCAAAATAATATTCTTTTTCAAATGAATCTATTTAACTCCGTTCGATTTTTAAATTTGATAAATAGAAAGATTCCTTTTTCCATTTCTTTCTTTTTTATTTTTATTCTTTTTTTTTTTCTTGTTTTTGATATTCGATTTAATCAAGTAACGATACAGGAAACACGTGTAGAAATGATTCATTTTTAATTTGTAAATCGATATTTTCTTTTGAAATATATCTATTTAACGATGTCGATGATAATAATGTTTTAGAATTCAGATCGCAAATTGTGATTGTTTTTCGTAAGAAATAAGAAAGATAAAGTCAAATTTTCTCCTTGCAGGAGACAGGCCATATATGTAAGGAGTAATTGGTCATATTTTTAATATTCCACAGTCGCGAGAGCAAGAAGACGAAAAGTTCAAAGTATTTCGCGCTAATTCGTTCGGTCGGCAAGCCGACTGACCAGCCGGATTCTCTTTCACCCTTTTCTTCGGAGCCATCAGACGATTCTCCTCTTTAAATCGTCCGGCCCGCTTTTTGCTGACTTCAAGCGGGATATATTCCGGAGCTTGTCCTCGTCCCGACCAAAAGTACATTCAAATTGAGATTAACTCGAGGACGACGATCGCGTTAAAAATCTGCCCGGTGCGCGACGGATAACGAAGAAACTTACTCTATTTCGAGATATCCCTTTTTTCTGTTATTTCATGGAACTTAAATTATTCACAATAAGGTTCTATTATTTTTCTATATCTTTGTTTTATTTCCAAAAGCGATAAATCCATTTTACATTTTAACAATACCAGTTACGAATTGATATTAAAAATTCTTTTTCTATACCGTCAAGCATTAAGATTTATTAAAAAAAAGAAAAAAAAACAACGTAGAGGTGTTACGATGTAGAGAGAGAGAGAGAGAGAGAGAGAGAGAGAGAGAGAGAAAAAAGAAAACAAAAGAATGAGAAATTCGATTAAAAAAAATTTTTTTTTTTTTAAGTAAAAATAAAAAAAGAAATAAAAAAAAAAAATATATATATATATATATATATATAAAATAAAAGAAACTGAGTGAGAAAGAAAGAGAGATTTTTGGTACGTTTTGAAAAAGTTGAAGCGAGTCAGTCAGTTACGAAACGCGTTCCCGTAGTACTCGTAAGTGATTCCGCTCACGCGTGTCGCATGAAATTATGCATCTCGCATTTTTTCCCTCCTCCAGGTCCTCGGTCGAGCGCGACAATGGCGGCTCTACCGTCGTCCATGCTCTCCTCAGGGATGCCATTTGTGGGAAAACCACGCAATTATCCGTCGGCAAATCTGAGCGGCAGCTGTGTGCTCCAAGTTTGGTCGCTTCCTACTCTTTCGTCTCCTTTCTCTCTCTCTCTCCCTCTCTCTCTCTCTCTTTCTCTCTCCTCCTCTTTCCTCTTTCCCTCTTTCTTTTTCTCTTTCTATCCTTCTCCTCTTATACGCACTTATCTCTCTTCTCAACTCTTTTCCGTTGCGGTCGTACCCGTTTCGCGGTTTCTCGCGGAGTTCTTCGTTTAAGGAGCTTTGACGTCTTGATCGTAGAGAGACTAGTTCTCCTTGAGGCCAAGAGGAAAAAAAAAAAAAGGAAAAGAAGAAGAAGAAATTCTCTATATACCGAGAAACTATCTTTTACCGTAAGATTTTCCAATTGACCTGGAAAAACTTTAAAACGTGATCATTAAACTCGACACATCTTTGTGATGTTCAATTCCAATCAAGAATTTGATTGAGATTAAATCCTTTGAATGTACATACGATGGGAAATATTTCGTGCTCGTTAGAAGCTTTTAAGAAAGAGAATACGAATTGATAAATATGAAAAATTGCTTACTTCTTTTCTCACATATATCATCGTCAACCTTACAAAGTTTATTTATTAATCATTTCTTATCTCTGTTATTACCTTGGGCGATATAAGTCTATATAAGTGTGTGTGTGTGTGTGTGTGTGTGTGTGTGTGTATGTGTGTATTAGGTATGTCTACATTGGACAAGAGCGAAGATAAAAAAAAGTGAAAACAAACGGGACAGACGTATGAGCGCGTGAATCATCTTGCGTCGAGACGTACCCTGTGAATTCAATAAAGAAAATAAAGTGCGAAATAGAGAGAAAGAGAGAGAGAGAGAGTGTGTGAGAGAGAGAAAGAGAGAGAGAGAGTGATAGAATAAAAGGCTGATAGAAATAAAGGCACACGGGTACCCGCAGCTCATTTCGTTCAGGACATTTGACGACGCCCAGTCTGGCTGAAGTTTATTTCAGACAGCTTTCTTCTCCATTTTAATCCTCTTTCTTTCTTTCTTTCTTTCTTTCTTTCTTTCTTTCTTTCTTTCTTTCTTCTTTCTTTCTCTCTCTTTCTTTTTCGCTTTTATAACGTATAAAATAGACGTAGGGCAAAAATCAAGAATACGATCATAGAGCGTATAAGCGATTTATAATTAAAGGTTTACAATTCGAAAGACTGAAATTATATCCTAGTTTGCTGATGAAGTTCTTCGTAACATCGTCGTTTTCTTCGTTGGAACTATTCGGAGCAGCTGTTATATCAAAAATTCTGTAGCAACGTATAATTGAGAATCGAAATAGTGTGAGTTAGTAATTTAAAGAGGATTCTCCATTTTATTATATATATATGTATGTATATAAATGTACATATATATATGTATATATATGTATATGTTTAGGATGAAACCGAAAGAAGATATATTTGATTAAATTCCAATGAACGAACGATTATAAAATCGAAAATATTTTAAGAGATCAATTAATATAATATCCAAAAACAAATTTTATTCGATTAAATTTCTATTTTATTGTTAATTCATTAATGATATCATTTCATATTGATTTAACTATGTATTATTATATTTACTCGTGTAATTTAAACAAAAAAATAAAAATATGAAAGACTTCTTTCTTAAAAATATCCTTATAGTAGAAAGTAAAAACTTAAAGAAGGAAAAAGAGAAAGAGAGAGAGAGAGAAGGCTCGGAAGTAAGTATTCCATGCACAGTCTCGCGAAAGCGACGGTGAAAAGAGGAAAGGGTGGCATTCGAGAGCGAACGTGGGACGTTGTGTGTCCGGGCTCCGTCCGCGTGGGATCGTCGCTGTGTGTGAGTCGACCGCCGGCACCAGGTCGTTACCCAGATAGCCGGCACTCCGTGTGCGTTCTTCCATCACGAGCATGCATCGAGTTATCGCGACAAGAGATGTGGGAGTCTTCGTATATCTTTCTCTCTCTTTCTTAATAATAATATATATATATATATATATATATATATATATATATATATATATATTCTATATATTTATCTCAAAAATAATTTTCATCGTCCGATAGATACACCGAACGAATACATTTTTTTTTATTATATTTTTTTCGATTTTCCGATCATAAAAAAAGAAAGAGAAAAAAAGGCATTATCTATTATAAAATTTTCAATCATCGATCTCGATCTTTAGTCATTGGGAATATCGATATCTCGAAAGTTTGGACAAATTGCAAGTTACTAAAATGGTCAGGCTGTACGAATTGGCCGATCGTTAACACCTCCGTACATGAAAGCAAAATTAGTCACTTGTATTATTTGCATACGACGTGTTTTTACCAATTACAATAATGAAGACGGAAAGGTAGAGAATAGAAAAAGAGAGAGAGAGAGAGAGATTGGTTCTGCTTGCACGCATGCGTTGCATGCGTGCGTGCATGCGTGCGTGCATGCGTTTCGAAGTACCAGTGGCTTATGTACGCGCGACTTACGACGTCCCACAACGCATCGGCCAAGAGAAGAGAAGAGGAGGAGGAGGAGGAGGAGGAGGAGGAGGAGGAGGAGGAGGAGGAGGAGGAGGACGATGACGACGACGACGACGACGACGACGACAATGTGTGGGCATTGTGAAGTGTGGGTTCGGCCACAGCTTTTAAGCGCGTGTCGTATTTGGCGATACGTTCGACTAACCGTGTACGTGTGGGTTCCGAAGGTGGACCTTTAGTAGCTTTCTGAGTTCCAGAACTTGAAAGAGAATATGTATAATATTATTATTCTCGAAAATGAATTATTATAATGAATTTTTCTGATCGTGGATTTTATTCAAATCGATTTCGAAAGTTATCGATGATTCACTATTTTTCAATCCAAAGACATCATTGTTTTAACACACACATATTTTTTTTTTTGCGGAATATTTAAAAAAAAATTTGTATCATTTTCATTGAGATCGAGCATTCATTATTTAAAAATTTTCAGGACGTACTTTATTCTAGACAATTTATCGTTTTAACAAATATAACAAGTATTTCGAAAATGAAATAATTTACACGTTCATCGCGAAAAAGCATTAAAAATGAAGAGGGAAATGATGGATATATCGCGTTCGATATTTCTCGTTGTTACACACGACCAGCATGCAAATTGGAATGCGTGTGGGCTACGTCTCGAGTTATACACATACATAAAGGCGTATGTAAGTGAGACAAACGTATGACTCGTTAAAAAAATGTGTTTGGCGCCGTCGTATTTTTCCCATCGGCTTGATGCTAAATCCGTCATCGGAAATACGAATCATTTGTTTTCGGACCTTGCTGGGTAACAATGGATCACTATACTTGCAAATGATATTCCGAATGAAAAAATACATGTACTAACAATAACTACGTTTGTTTCACGTTAAAGAAATGTTTGAATTTTATAGAAAATTATTGTATAAAAAAATTTCTTTTAATATTCTTTTTCGTCAATAACATAAAATCATCTTTCTTTCTTTTATTCTTTTATCTTTAATCCATTTCATATTCCATAGGGTATAGCAATTATTAAAAAATTAGAATCACTTTGAAGATAAATTTAAGTTTTGTATATATATGTATATTCGTATGTTAATATTACAGAAATAATGAAATTCCAAATGTTTCTTCGGCATTTTAAAATTACCGAGATAAGCTCTCAGAATTTTCCATTATCAGTATTAAATATATATATATATATATATATATACGACACATACGACGAAAACATATATGACTGGTTTAACGGCAAAAATACTTAAAGAATTACGACAAAACGTGAAGAAAAGGTACGTTTGGAAATGTTGGAAATGTTTCGTAACTCATATACTCTCTTCTTTCCTCTCTTTCTCTCTCGTATGGAAACACCTGTTCAAATGTGGTGGCTCTCTTTGAGGCGCCAAAGGTCGTCGATCGAAACGCGTTTGTGTGTCGATATCCCACGCGACGAATCGAAAAGAAAGAACTCTTGCAATCGATTTACGAACGAAAGGACGAAGAAATTCAGCCTCCGTCGCGGTTCACTCCGACGGAAAGTATCTGCGGTTATCGCGTACAACACAAGAGCGAGATATACGACGAAGAAGGAAAGGACAAGGAGTCTCCTTTAAAGCCTACGCTACGGAACTCTACGTTCTCTGTGTGCCGGCCCACTTGAAGTTACTGCCAAGTAAAAGGGAGATACGAGAAGCGAGACGGAGAGGGAGAGAGAGAGAAAGAGAGAGAGAGAGAGAGAGAGAAAGAGAGAGAGAAAGGAGTCTGCGAGGACGAGGCGATCCAACTTGGAAACTCTCCTTCGAAAGACCGCCGAAGGCGATCCCACGATTTGTCGTTTAATTGGACATCCTTCGCCTCTTCTTCGTCCATTTCTTATCCTCTTTTATTTTTTCTCTCTTTTCCTTTTCTTATTCTTTCCTCTCCTTTATTTCAATCTCTTTTAACTTTTTACCATGCTCGATAAATCGACATTCGAACAAGTCGATTACAGG